TATGTTTCGTGTCCTTAATAAAACTCCTTTGTCCTAATGGAAGCCTTGCTGTCAACTTGTACTCCTCCCTCTTCCTTCTCATCTATATTTAATTACCAAGCTCACACCTCTTTTCACTGTAAGATCTCCCATGCCCTTCCATGTTTTGTTCCTACAGTAATGACATTGCTGTAGTTCCTATAAGTTGTGTCTGATCCGATATATAGCCTCTTTGCTCTCAGTGTACGCATTTGTTGATCCACTGGTTTCCTACAATTATCATTTTAAATTTTTAGCTCTTGATTAACATTTTCGTTTATTTATCAAAGACAAGGGAGGAGTTTGGTATTCTAGGCCCTTTTGAGTTTGGCTCTAGACTATTTTTCATCATTTACTTCTATCTCAGGTCTTAAACTTTAATATGTTTCTGAAATATTGGAACTTATTTGATAGCAGACCCATGGGCCCCATGTCCAGGTGTGCTGATTCAACAGGTCTCATATGTGGCCTGGAAATTTGCATTTAAGTAACTATCCCAGACAATTTAAGAACCACATACTATTCTAGATGAAGCCTCTGATTTACTTAAATGGGCTGGACTGTTGATTGTCTTCTAGCTGTGCCATGTACTTTTGACCACTAAATCCTTTCTCAGTCTCTCACAGGGAAGAAATATCCTGCCCCAAATTCCAGCAACAACCCCATGGGGAAACCCTGACCAACACTCACGAAAACTAGCACCTGAAATGAATGTGTCATGCAGGGATTTATTTTATTTAACAATTTCCTTAAGGAAAATAAAGATTCCAAGGTATTTCCCCTTGAGTTTCAGATTAATTAGGTTTCCCTTGAGGCCTGAGAATGGCTGCTTTTACCACCTTCCCAGATGAATAAGGAAAGTCTGGCATTGACTGCACTAGAGCCACCACTCATGACTTAATATTACTAGATGTGTTAGGGGAACAAGAGAAGTAATATATTAAGGTGCTTATAAACTGCCATGTACTATTCAGATACATGATGATTTATATTAATTATCTTAATTAATTAACTAATTCAATATCTATATGCTGGACACTGAGCAACACCATACACTTCCTCTAGTCAAAGCATCAAAAAGCTGATGATACATGGAGTACAAAGTTGTGTCTTTACTTCTAAATGGGCAGAGCTTTAGGCACGTGATCAAAGTAATTGTAAGTGATAACAAAGGATCCCTTACCTGAGGCATTCCAATGACTAACGGGTCCAGGGTTTTTAAGACCTGAAGACTTGTTTCTTGGACAGATTTCTCTTTCTTTCCATCCTCATGGGAATTAGTTTTCATTAGTTTCTCCTTTAAGAAAGATAAAACAGGTGGCTTGTTAATAATCCTTAATGTTGGTCTCCTCTGACCTTGCTTGGATGTGTTCTCGGACCCTGGAGTGAAGGACGTAGTTGCTGTAGGACTCCAAATTCAGGCTCGTGTATCTGATGTGCAGCTAAAGCCAAACACTGCAAAACTGGTGCTTGGAGACAGGGAAAGGTTTGCTCAATTTGGCCAAAGTGAGAAGACAGGAGAGCAAAATCTCTCAGATCTGTCTTCCCTGAAGAAATGAAGCAGGGAGCTTATGTGGCTGGGGAATGAAAGGAGGATGGGGGATTGGCGGTGGGATTCAGTGTTGTTTTTAGTCTCAGATAATACCTCGAGTAACCACACTTTTTGGTGTCAGCCACTAGTTGTTGCTTTTTCAGGGACATTCATTCTTTCCATAAAACAAACTTGTAGATTCTCCTCATGAGCCTGGAGTTACCTGCTTCTGCTTGTTAAGAAACAGTGTATCAGCAGTTAATGATTGCTGTGAGAACAAGGGGTGCTGAGCAGGAAACAAGTGGGTTAACGTGTAAACAACCAAGGGCCTAGTCTAATTGTACATTATTTCAGTCATTAAAAAATGCCAGGGTACCAAAATCTCAAGGGACCCAGCTACATAGTCACTCAACGTAAGGGACTCATGGGACCCAGGGATCTCTAACATCTAATCCCTGTTTGAAAGTGCCCCCTTGGAGGAATAGGTTGGAAAACACATCCCTGGCTAAATTAGAAAAGCAAAACTTCCGAGGCTTCTCTTGAACTCCAGATATTCCGTCTCTCCCTTTGCCGTTTTCTCTGGGGCAAAAATTTTCAAAACACTGCTTCTTTGTGGAGTGGACTGTAATTTCAGTTGTGACTAACTTGCTAAGATCACTGAGATCTTAAGCACATGTTTTTCAGCCTATTTAGCCAAAGGAAGCTGACCCCAGTTGCTGCTGTCTGAATGTTTGTGTCCCACCAAAATTCATATGTTGGAATTCTGACCTCCAAGATGATGGTATTAGGAAGTGTGGTCTTTGAGAGGTGATTAAGTCATGAATGGGATTCGTGCTTTTATGAAAGAAACCTCAGAGAATTAGCTAGCCCCTTCCACCATGTGAGGACACAGTGAGAAGGCACCATCTATCAGGAGTTGGGCCTTCACCAGACACTGAATCTCAGACTTCTCAGCCTCCAGTACAGTAAGAAATAAATGTTTGCTGTTTATAAACCACTAGTTTATGGTATTTTTTTTATAGCAGCCCAAATGGACTAAGACACCAGTCCAGCAATATTGGTATGTCTTTTGTTTTCTCTAAAGCAATCCACTCTCTCTGCCTCTCTCCAGACCACACTCGACCTGAGTCTTTGGAGGTCACTTTGCCTCCTCCTCAGGGAAAATGGTGATTTAACCTGAGGTGTTTATTATAAGTTATTATAGAAAGGATATTGTGAAAGGAAACTGAGAAAACTAGAGGCTGAAAAAAATTATCAATAAATTTGATAAGTGGGTTATCAAAGCCAGGGATGTGTTTTCCAACCTATTCCTCCAAGGGGGCACTTTCAAACAGGGATTAGATGTTAGAGATCCCTGGGTCCCATGAGTCCCTTACG